CCAATCCTGCAAAGTAGTGTCTTAATGGTGCTGCCTTTAGAAAGTTGGACACAAGGTTATAGACAACCACAGAAAACTGTGTCCATGCTTTACAAGCTCCTTCTTTGTTATAGCATCTCTCTTCCCTGAGCCTAGTATTCTAAAACTGGTAACATGACTGCATGGTAAAGCTTGACTAAAGAGATGGGTGACTGACCTATTAGCTTAGTGACATTTGACAGATTACTTGACCTCTCTAAAGTATAATTGTCTCATCTGTGTAATGGGAATAACAACACCTATCTCCTTATAACAGTGAAATTAGATGGTATTTATGAATATTCTGTAGTCTTTTGGAAAAATGTGAATTATTGTCCTACTATACAGCAGGAAAGCATGCTGTGATGGATATTCTTTCTGTTGAAGGTGTAAGACCTGTGAGTCATGCTTCAAGCTAAACTTCTTTTCTACTTTGTTGATTTTCTGTTTTAGCCCTGTATATTTTATTGAATTTCCTGAGAGTGGGGCTCAGAAAATCTTCCTAGCATTTTATAAATGTAGTTGAGTTGGTTGTTGTGAGCCTTGGAACAAAATTAGATAGTACCGGGGCTGGGGTTGTGGCTCAGCGATAGAGCACTCGCCTAGCATGTGTGAGCCCTGGGTTCAATCCTCAGCACCATATAAAAATAAATAAAATAAAGGTATTTAAATATTTTTTTTTTAAAAAAATAGATAGTGCCAATGCATTTATTAACTAAAAATAGATATATAGACTAATGATCTACTCAGCAATATTACACAGGCTCTGTATCTTTTGATTGATCAAGACTCATCTCAGGGGGCAGAAAACTCTTAATCTTTTATAATTTCTAAGTATGGTATATAAGATTACTCACTGAAGAGCACTGAAGTACAAGAAAAGGGAAGCTAAAAGACTGAAATTTCTAAGTTCTGCTCTTATTACTACTAATATTGATCACTTTCCAAGTCTCCCATAGATCCATTAGAAACAGAGCGACACAGGATATAGCAGAGTAGTTAATAGTAGCATTGTTTGCTTTTTAATTATTCAAAGTTTTACCCCATTCAAAGAACTCAAGAAATGGTGGCTCATAATTGCCATTTGTCAAATTCCTTAGAGCTTATAATTTAGGTTAGTACAGCCCATAATTTACCTGAAACTTTCACTGTGTTCACTGTTTTTTTTCCAAAGAAAAAGGCTTGTTATGAAAATTATGTCAGAACTGTCTTTTTCTCCTGGTTTAATAAACCTATTAGTAAGTTTTTACTGATTCCTGCTACTAAATTTTCTGTGTTAGCATTATGGAAGATCAAACATGATCCAGTCCCTCAGAGAGTTTATCTTCCAACTGAAGACTAGTTTTAATTAGCAAATGCCATTAATGAGTGAGTAGGGAATGAAGTTCTAAATAAAGTAATAATGGGGAATTTTAAAGAAGAAAGGCAGTGTGTACTAGATTCATTAGAGAAGGTGGCAGGTATGCTATGATGCTTAGACCAGTTCAATGAAGGGTAAGCAAGATTTAGGTAGAGTTAGTGAAAGAAAGAGAAGAAAGCAGGGTGGGAGAGATTGATTGATTGATCAATCAATTGACTTGTCAAAATAAGCAAAACAAGTCACTTCCAAACAACAAAGCGCTCTGGCCTGATCAGATCAGCAGTGATGAACCACTAATAATAAGAAAGTGAAGCATTGAGTAATGTGGGAAAGTTAGCTAAGTAGAGTGAGGCCAGATCTTGGACAGTGTTGAATATGAGGCTAGATTTGATCTGATGGAACAAAAAAGCCATTGCAAATTTTTGTGTAAGACCATAGCATGAGAGTGGTCCATCAGGAAATGTTCATCAGAGTTGAAAGGATCTATAAAGATATCCAATACAGTAAAGGGACATTGTAGTCACAAAACAAGATGGTGAGGGCTGATCCAAGGTGGAGAAGTGGGGTAGAGAAAACGGGATTGATAGTAGAAATATTTTGAAGGAAAACATGACTAGGCAATTCATGTCTTCTCAAACTTCATTCCAGAATTTCTAGCCTCCACTAGGATTGCCAAAAATATCAGAAAATGTTGTTAAAAAAAGAAAAGGTGGTAAGTACCATTTGTTTGGACAGAAAGTATTAGTTTGGTATTGCATTCATTTACTTGAGGTCCTTAGGTGTAGGCAGATAGACTTGCAGAAGTGCCACTCAGAGGGCAGGGCTGGTGGTGTGGGGTTTGACTTTATCAGCATGTAGTTAATAACTGAATCTCTGCTGATGTTCAACTTTGAATGCTGCCATGTTTGGACTTACAATGAAAGCCAAATGATATTTATTCAGATGCCAGTTGTTTCTTCAGAGTATTTGCTTGTGGCACTGATAAGAAAATCATCCATAAAGCACGAATTACTTTTCTAATAAAGCTATTAATAAAAAGGTAAATGAGACCAGTGAAAGGCAAAGTAAACCTCAAGTCAAGGATAGAAAAAGGTATCTTTAAAAGACTCATTAGTGTAGTGATAATAAAGTAAGATGCTTCAGTATCTCACACCATTATACACAGTTAGTATGAGTAAACACTTATTAAACTTACATGTCATTCATTCTAAAATTCACTTTTTAAAAAACATTTGTCCAGTGGGCTTGCATCTTCCATTATCTTGATATTATCTCGTTATTGTTGGTTATCTAGTCACTGCATAGTTGCCACTGCCTTAAGAAATTTACTTTGCTTTATTTAAAAAGTATGCACAAAATTATATAGGAAAAAAAATGTTTCCAGATAAGTCAAAAATAACTCTTTCTGTAAATATGGAATAAAAGTTCTAAACACAAAGCAATAGTTTGCAGTTTTCTTTTTTGGCAGTACATAAAATGGTGGGCTTTAAATTGATGGTATCATAGATTTGTAAGTAATGGTATTAAAAATTATTGATAACAGCAGATTTCCACCAATATGATATAGGCGACTATAGTAAAGTCTCCTAAATTTGCATTCTTTAATTGACCTAAATATGAGGATGCCATGGGGTTATTTTAATTTGGACTGGGATTATTAGGAGAAAGGGTTTTCTTTCATTGAATGGTGGAAATACCGCCTGCCCAGAATAGAAACCTCCTTGGAGGATCCATTTCTTTGATGATGCAGAATCCAGAATATTTACAAAACTTTAAATATTAGCAGAATGAACAACCACATTTAATACAAACCAATTTGCCCTTCCTAATCTCAGATCACTATGCTGTCCATACACTTATGAGTATGCTTGCTTATGTGCAAATTGAGAGTGAATCTACCAGGAAATTGGTATTTAGGGATGATATAGTCTCTTGGTGGTAGAAAATGTTCTCTCTTTCAAAAGTGGAGCACAGAAACATTTGATTTTTCAATACAAAAGTCTTCAGCCATTTCTGCACTATGGCTTAATGACTGGAGGTAGGTTGGCTTTGTGTTTAGTAACACTTAATGGGCAGAAATAATCTCTTTTCCTAGGGACTTTCACAGCATGATGACACTTTGTGTGTGTGTGTGTTTGTGTGTGCACATGCGCACGTGTGCACATGTGAGTATGTCTGTCTTTTTATAAGTCCATGCTCTGGAACTGATAAGTAGGAATAAATAAAGTTAGAGTGTCAGGGCTGGGGAATGCTACTCTTTACTACTAAGGGACACAGTACTTCAGGTAAGTGATTCTTAAGTCCTTCAACACCTGACGGTGACCTTGGGTTGGTCCATAGGTATGTTTTCATTTTACTTATTCGTTTATCCTAATTGGCTTCATAGAGAATGCTTGCAGATGTAGAGCCAAATTTAGTAGAAAAACCCTCTGGCAAACAGGAAGAGATTAATTTTGTGGTGTGCCATTAAGGGACTTCCCAGGAAACTTCAAACGCACAGAAAGAAGCATAAACTGCCTATTCCAAAGTGTGTAAAATACAACTCAGATTTTTTTAAAGTCGTGATAAACTCAAGAGTTTACACACACACACAGGACCAATAAAAAGAGAAGTTGAACTTTCTAGCTAGATCAGTATACTAGGCAGAAAAGTCAAAGGGTGAGGGCTTCAGAGAATTTGTGGAGATAAACACGGAGTCTGCATATGGGAGGCATTTGAAATTGACTTAAATTCCTTTTTAATGCTGACTTTTCCAGTTTTTTCTAAGTTGACACATTGTTTTCATGACATCAGCCTCAGGCATAGAAACATCATTAGAATGAATGGAGAGAAAATGATTTCTGTTTGGGAATAAGCAAAACATTTTTAGTGATGACCACCCAGGTGTAGTGGAAAGAACACTGGATTGGAGAATCCCGAGTTCTAATATAAACTTTTTTTTTTTTTATGACTCAAGGCCAGTCCTGTATGGTCTTTGTTTTCCCTGTCTGTAAAATCCAGTAGAAATATCTGTCATCTTCACTATAATAGATTATCTCTGTGAGAGAAGAAAAATAATGTAAAGGCTCCTTATAGCTCTCTGATGGCTGTTCATGACTAGGCATCACATAGCCAGAGATTCATCGGATCCCTCAGGCCACTGCTGTTTTTGTCACACATTCCTACAAAGGGACAGCATTGCTAACTTGAAAAAAACATTTCGCTTGCAATTGTTGCTTAGTAACATTTCTGATTTTGTGTTTCTTGTGACAGCATGAGCATAGATCATTAAAAATTAAACTTATGAAGCTGCTAAAGTGGGAGGAAAGAGGAGAAATGAAGCCACAATTTTTTTCACTTGCTTAGAAGCCATTTAATCTCAGGTTTATATGCTAAGTCCTGGGGAGAACACTGCATGTTTCTGGTTTATATTAAACCACATATTGCACACTACTGACATTGATTTGTGTCTAGTGCAGCTGGAGTTGATCACCAAGATGTAAAAAACCTTGACCCCGCAGAATAGTCTGGAATTACAATCAGATGGGCCACATAGTATCCCTGTGAGGAAAAGAAAAAAGAAAAAAAAAAAAAAAGCCCTAACCAGTTTCTTTGCATTTTTTTTTTCTGCTTTCTCCTTTAGTTCCACCAGGTGAGAAGAGTGATGACCATCCTTTTCCTTACTATGGTTATTTCATACTTTGGTTGCATGAAGGCTGCCCCCATGAAAGAAGCCAACGTCCGAGGACAAGGCAGCTTGGCCTACCCAGGTGTGCGGACCCATGGGACTCTGGAGAGCGTGAATGGGCCCAAGGCAGGTTCACGAGGCCTCACCTCATTGGCTGACACTTTTGAACACGTGATTGAAGAGCTGTTGGATGAGGACCAGAAAGTTCGGCCCAATGAAGAAAACAATAAGGACGCGGACTTGTACACTTCCAGGGTGATGCTCAGTAGTCAAGTGCCTTTGGAGCCTCCTCTTCTCTTCCTGCTTGAGGAATACAAAAATTACCTGGATGCTGCAAACATGTCTATGAGGGTCCGGCGCCACTCCGACCCTGCCCGCCGCGGGGAGCTCAGTGTGTGTGACAGTATTAGTGAGTGGGTAACAGCGGCAGATAAAAAGACTGCAGTGGACATGTCGGGTGGAACCGTCACCGTCCTGGAAAAAGTCCCTGTGTCAAAAGGCCAACTGAAGCAATACTTCTACGAGACCAAGTGCAATCCCATGGGCTACACGAAAGAAGGCTGCAGGGGCATAGACAAAAGGCATTGGAACTCCCAGTGCCGAACTACCCAGTCGTACGTGCGGGCCCTCACCATGGATAGCAAAAAGCGCATTGGCTGGCGGTTCATAAGGATAGACACTTCCTGTGTATGTACATTGACCATTAAGAGGGGAAGATAGTGGCTTTATGTTGTATAGATTATATTGAGACAAAAATTATTCTATTTGTATATATACATAACAGGGTAAATTATTCAGTTAAGAAAAAAATAATTTTATGAACTGCATGTATAAATGAAGTTTATACAGTACAGTGGTTCTACAATCTATTTATTGGACATATCCATGACCAGAAGGGAAACAGTCATTTGCGCACAACTTTAAAAAGTCTGCATTACATTCCTCGATAATGTTGTGGTTTGTTGCCGTTGCCAAGAATTGAAAACATAAAAAGTTTAAAAAAAATGATAATAAATTGCATGCTGCTTTAATTGTGAATTGATAATAAACTGTCCTCTTTCAGAAAACAGACAAAAACAAAAAAAACAAAAAAAACAAAAAAAACAAAAATTTGAACCAAAACATTCCGTTTACATTTTAGACAGTAAGTATCTTCGTTCTTGTTAGTACTATATCTGTTTTACTGCTTTTAACTTCTGATAGCGTTGGAATTAAAACAATGTCAAGGTGCTGTTGTCATTGCTTTACTGGCTTAGGGGGATGGGGGATGGGAGGGGTATATTTTTGTTTGTTTTGTGTTTTCTTTTGTTTGTTTGTTTGTTTTGTTTCTTTTTTTTTTTAGTTCCCACAGGGAGTAGGGATGGGCAAAGAACTTCTTCAGTGTCTATTCTGGTTTATAAAAGATACATTTATATGTTGTAAAGTTGTTTGCAATATCAATCAGATGACTGAAAAGTGAATAAAAATTAAGGCAACTGCATAAAATGCTCACACTCCACTTCCCATGATGCACCTCCCAGATCCCCCTCCTCCAACCCATTGGATGTGGGTTAGGGAAAGCATCTTTTATTGGAAGAACCTACGTTTGCTCAAAGCACATTCTTTCCCTTCCTCCCCTTTGATTCCCTCGTTGTTTTGCTTTGTCTTAAGGAAGAAAAATGAATCGCGTGCCCTACAATATTTTACCACTGTGGTGAACAAGTGAATAAATTGTGTCACATTGTGGCACTTGTGGAAACAGTGATTTTTATTTTTTTAAAGAAGAGAAAAAAGAACATCAGGAAGTAACCCAGAAATCAAAATTCTTTTTTATGAGGAGTAAACATTTGGGTAAATCATGGTAATGCTTTAAAAAAATATGGTAAGACTTCACGGTGTCTTGCAAGTGAAAGGTAGAGTTCTGTATGAACTCAGAAACACCTAGATCAGAGCAGGAATCTACATGCCAGGGAAATGAGTCTAAACAGCCCTATGGAGGCTGGGTAGAATGTACCATTTCCGGGCAATGCAGGAAGAATTTTTGAGTGGCCATCCCAAGGCCTAGGTAGAGGTGGGGAATGACCCTTAAGACTTTCCAAAAGGAAAGCCTCAGAAGCACCCTTCAGAGGTGGCTCTGGAATGACATGTGTTAAGTTGCTTGGACCTCATGCTTTAAGTGCCTACATTATCTAACTGTGCTCAAGAGGTTCTCCACTGGAGGACCATACCCAAGCTGACTTATGCCCTCCATTCCTCTCCTGGATAACTGTGCATAAAGTTGGACTAGCCTGGAGCAGATTTGGAGTCAAATGTGGCATTTGCTATCATGAGATTGATGCAATGAAATAGAAGATGTCTGCTACAAGAACACATACTTGCTTTGAAACTGCACTTGAGGAAACCAGGGTTTTATATTTTGAGAACTTTTGGTCAAAGGAGAGAACAGGAAAAGGCCCCCAAACTCAGGCTGAATGATGAAGGCCTGAAAAGATAGAAATCTTGTCCAGAGACAAGACTTGGGAAGGTGCCTTGCTCCATAGAAGAGGCCAGAACAGAGCTGACAAAGCTTTGCTCCCCAAGTGAAGGTCACAGCAACCTCCTGCCCATTCTGTCTGTTCAAGGAGAGGGTCACTGCTTCAACTCTGCCATTTTGGGTTAGGAGAGGTCAAATTAGGAATCTGAAATAGTGTTCCTGGGAAAAGTGGATCCCAGTGAAAATTAGTGCTAAGCCTATCTACCCATTCAGCTCACTTCCACACCTGGAAATGATAGTGTTTACCACCTGGGACAGTGTTCTAGAGTATCAGAAAAAGCTGCAAGCAATTGTTGCAGGGTGAGGAATAAGCAAACAAGGATGTCCATTGTGACCCAGGGAGTGAAGATGCTGTCAGCAAATTTCTGTCTTTCGTTTAGAGGTAGCCTGTCTTTTAGAGTACAACCTGAATACCTATCTTTAAATGAAGAAAGACTTTATGTAGTATAGGTTTGTTTTGTTGTGCCGTTCAACAATATTATCTTTGTAATTATTTTTCATCTGTAAGGAATGCTTTTGGAATGTCTGCTGTATGCTAACTTTTCGCAGCTTCCTTTTGAGGGACAACATTTAAAAAACAAACAAGTCCCTATCCACAATCTTAAGGTACTGCAAGGGCCAGATCTGTTAAGTTTCGCAGGAGACATTTCAGCAATTGTGTGGTCAGTGGCTCTCCCTTACCCAATGAGATACATCACAGTCACATGCTTGGTGGTTTATGTTGAACTAAGATTTATTTTGTTAAACTCTCTCTCTCTCTGTTGCTGTTCGTTCTTGTTCTGTTCTGTTCTGTTTTGTTTTTAAAGTCTTGCTGTGGTCTCTTTGTGGCAGAAGTGTTTCATGCATGGCAGCAGGCCTGTTGCTTTTTTATGGTGATTCCCATTGAAAATGTAAGTAAATGTCTGTGGCCTTGTTCTCTCTATGGTAAAGATATTATTCACCATGTAAAACAAGAAAAAATATTTATTGTATTTTAGTATATTTATATAATTATGTTATTGAAAAAATTTGGCATTAAAACTTAACCGCATCAGAAGCCTATTGTAAATACAAGTTCTATTTAAGTGTACCAATTAACATATAATATATGTTTTAAATATAGAATTTTTAATGTTTTTAAATATATTTTCAAAGTACATAAAATCTGGGGGTTCTGGGTTTTTTTCTCTTCACTGTAAAACAAACATGAAAACGTGTTTTATTATAAATACGTGTGTTCCTTGCTTTAAGATCAACCTGACTAGTAGCAGCAATTGAATAGCCCTCCAGAGAGGATGCTAATTTCAAAGCACTGGAAGGCCAATCCTGCAGTCTGTGAGCTTCTGAGAAGCTCTAGGATTGATTCTGTCTTCCAGGGTGGAAAACAGAATGTCATTTTCTAGGACACTTGAAAGTTTTTCCCTTTGAAGTGATATACTTTCATCAAATACCAAACCATGTATCCTAGCAACATCCAGATCCATGAATCAGGGCTGGCTGGCTCTATTTGACTATAAAATAACTGTTAAAAAAAAAAGTAGGTCTATTTAGGGATAATGAGAATAAATTGGCCCAAATTTAGAAAGTCAACTACTGGAAAAAAAAATGTAGATATTCAATATTTGGAGATAGGTCATGTCCCCTTGGTTTGGAAACAATGCCATTTGCAGCACATATTTGTATCTATTGCATCGATTTAATTTTTGTACATGGAACACGAAGATTTTATATCATAGTACCCATGATCTAACAGATTGCTAGGATTTCTAAAAAGATTTGCCTCCGTGATGGCTGCCAAGCCGCTGGGTAATTTAGTTAAAGTGTTTAAAGTTATCACTAAATCTTAGGGAAATAAATGGAAAGATTTTAAACTAGAGAAAGGGCCATTAAGGAAAAAAAGCATCTGTTCCTACTCTTCAGACTCCCCATTTGAACACTGAACAACCCATCCCAGAACGTGGTGAACTATATCTGTGCAATGTATCATTTCTATTTCAAACATACACACATGGTTTCCTCTTGTATTGTCTTATAAATAAGGATCAGGAAAGTCATAACAAACATTGACTTGTGTTGTGTATATGGAAGAACAGATCGAATGAGATGAACTGCTCTATTATAATCTGTCCAGTGAATTTACTTGCACTGGAAGAGAAGACCTTGACTTGCCAGACATGACAGCCCAGCCAGGGAATTAGAACTTTGTTATACTTCCGACTTAACCAATTATCATAGTTGAAAAAGACTAACTTAAATGAAGGGTTGAGGAATAATCGAGAATCAAATGTGTCATTCAAATTACTTGAAGTTAATGGAGTTTGGTAAACATGACAAAGTTTTCAATAGGGGACGAGGTCAGAGAAACAACAATGAAAAGGAGCTATCCATTAACTTAACTAACTTGGAGTTGACGGGAGTAATCAATTTGTACTGCATTCTTTAGGTAAGAAGGTAAACCTGCTTAATCATTAAGAATCTTGGAAAAGACTCAGATCATTGCTTTCATCTATTGTTTTTTTTTTGTTTGTTTGTTTTTTAGACATATTAGTAAGCCTCTGTGGTCATGCTGTGTCTATGAAGTCTTTTTATTCCCTGAATAATATCACAATTCTGAGTAAGAGTTTGAACTAAACCTTAGAAGGAATTAGTTAAGTTGTCCCTCATTCATTTAATTGGTTACTAGACTCTAGGTAAAATGTCTTTTTTTTTTTTTTAATATGTGTCAAACACCTCTTGAACCACCAAAAACTGTCAGTCCTTGCTCAGCCAGCACTCCAGCAGCATCAGGACTTATGCCTAAAGGAAAACATTCCTGTCTCTTGGGTTCTAGCATTGAGCTTACTCTGTCAGTCAGTTTTAGTGAAATAGCTACATTTCTGGTAAGCCATTGTTGGTAAAGAGTGATGAGAAACAATGCATGTTCAGAAGTACAGATAGATAAGTATTGAGCATAGAAAGATCCATGCATAATGTAATCCAGCCTCAAAGCAAAATTAGTGTTTGATGAAACCTGGGCCATTCTTTTAGCTGTGGGTTAACTGTTGTTTTAAGAGTGGTTTTTGATTGGGGGTAGAAGGGGTAGGGAGAGTGGCTAGGACTCTGGTTCTTGTTGGTTACATTGAACTAACTGGGGCTGGTGAACTCACTACCTAAGAGCCAGGTATAGTGACTAGAGTGGATGCAGCCACACCAGTCCACTCCAATGTATGGCCATTCCAGCTAGTAAGCACCCTGCCTGTACCTCTGCCTCCAGTCTTCTAAGCATCTTCATTTTTTCTTTCAATTCTTGCCACTGTTCTCCATAGGGGGGGGGGGGGAATGAATGCAAACTCCTTGCTTTTTGAAGTGTGATTAGATGCAGTAAATTTCCTGAAGAAAATATTTAAATATTAACAGAAACATACTGTGGTCTCTTACACCTTATATTCCTCATTAACAAAAAGAGCTATCGATGTGATAGGATTTCTATAGGCCTTTACCTCAACCCCTTCTATAGGCACCAATCGCCATAGCAGAAAACTCCCCACTACCACCCCACCATTTGCTTTTCTGAATAAAATAAATCCTGTGTGTACTTGATAATGTCAGTAGCATGGATTGTAAAAGCTAATATTTCAATTAATAAATGCTACCACACACACACTAAACAAGGCCTTTGCATTCATTATATATTCAAGTGTGACCTGCTTTTTTTTTTTTTTAATCTGGCAAAACAAAAGTACTTTCCTTTGGAAAAATGTGCCATCTATCCTGAAAAAAAAAAAAAAAAATCTCACAGAAAATGCTTTAATTAATGGTAGGGTATGTCTTAAGTTTGTAAAGGACCAAAAAGGGTTAGTTGAAATACTGAGCTTGAGGTGTACACTCCACATTTAGAAAGCACATAAGGATTCTTCCACAGCTCTGCACTTTGGTACTGTATTCTATTTCAAATGGTTCCTTAGAAACCAGGAGCTGGTTTGCGTAGAATGGCTGAACCCAGGGGAAATATTTTTGTCTAGCATAAGTGCTCACATTTTAGAAAAATCCATATCAAGTACTGCAGTGCACAAATTTGTTTAGTCAGGCTGTACACTCTACTGAGCCACAATATTTAAAAAATAGTTTCTAAACTGAAATTTGGTGCATGTCAAAGGGAAAAAAGGAAAAAGAAATAAAATACAAACTTTTAAACAGTACACACAGTGCCTATGTCTTTTGCCAGTGGACTGACACAGTGATTTTCAGAGCATGGTGTCCAACCAGCAGCAGTAGCAGAATCTCTGGGAACATGTTAGAAAACCATATTATCAGGCCCCACCCTAGATTTACTGAATTAAATGCTCAGGATAGGGCCCAGCAATCTGTTTTAACAATCTCCGGGTGATTCTATGTCCACACAAATTTGAAAATCACTGGACAGAAGGGATTCAACAATCAGCCTTCCATGTGTTCTACACAATTGGAAGATGGAACAGCCCAAGAATTTGGAACTGTGAGTTCTGATCCTAGTCAGGCACCCACCTCTTTCCGTGGCCCCGCAAACAAAATTCAAACCTCCTATATATTTCTATTTCTTAAAACAGAAGAGCAATGGGTACTGAGGGTGCACTGGTGATTTAAAAGCAAGCATGGAAATGTGTATCGTAAAAGTTCACTGCCATTTATAGCCAACCATTTTTGTTTTTTCCTTTCATTTCAAAGCAATAGCAGATTCAGGAACCAGAGCAGGTAGTCGTTTGTAACACATTTGGAACAACTGCAAGAAATGAGAAGCAACATTCAGCAAATTAATGAGGAAAAGATTATTCCATCTGGGGAGCTGGGCTTTGCCCATGCCAAACGTGGCCCTCTCTCTCGGTGAAATAAAGCTGTATTGGTCATAAATTAAATAAACATTCTGAATTAATCAGCTGTTAACATCTAGCTGAGGAGTCCTAAGTTCACCCCTGCAGGATGATCCCTTTGAAAATAAAAAGAGCACCCCCAGTCTTTGTGACATACCTTTTCCTGATGGTAGGAATTAATTTCTGGAAATGATAATCTATTCCCATTCCCTGTACCATCTCTGTGTATATGTGTATGTCTCTATGTGTGCATACTCCTTCCCTTTTAAAATTTCAAACTGCATCTGAAGATTTTCTGATTGTGGGATGAAGAAGAAGGTATCCAAATTTATTTCCCACCCATTAGGCAATATGGAAAACTGAATTCCAACAACCTTGGCTTAGGAGCCAGGAGTCCTTTTAGTTCAGTCATTAACTAGGCTGGCCAGCCTATTTCTTCTCCCTAAGCCTTTAAGCCCTTGTTTGTCACAGGAAGAGGCTGAACAATACTGTCTTGGAGGTAAATTCAAGCCTTAAGACACTACAATTCCATTCTTCCTACTTCATCATCTGCAGTAAAAAAGAGATGAAAGAGATTTCAGAAGCCCAGAAAGGCTGGGGGAACATTCTTAGATAATTCACTGTCCATCTCCTGTATCCTTCTACTGTTGGTGACCTTATTACTTGGCAATTGCCACAAGATTGAAATCAGAGAGCACCATGGGGCAGGATGGGGGTTGAAGAGGAGGGAATGTGCCCCAAGGAAGGTTTTCATATGCAACTATAAAAATGTCCCCAGCTCTGTCATAACCAGGCAGAAAACACTGATCTTCAAGACGTAGACTCTTTCTGCTTGGTTCTAAATCTTCTTCAAAGCCAGGCAAGGATACTTACCTATGTTTTCTTCCTCTCATATGTGCCATATTCCCTGATGCCTGGCAAAGAAAGATCTAGTGTGTTTGGCTGAGTTGAAGATTCAGGAAACGGTAGATTAAACTGCTGGATCTACATCCTTTAGAGTCACTGTTGATAGAACTTTGAGACAAAATGGGCTTTCATCCTAATTCCTCCGAGCTTTATACCTTCACCAAGGATATGCAGCTCTCAGCTTGCTTCATTCTACCCCTAGACACTCCAGAGAGATCCTCCTCTTGAGAGGAACCCTTGAAAACAAGAGTGTCTCATGATAAACCATTAGGAAATCATTCTGAGTGTAGCCTTGGCCAGCTTAGGAGACAAGCTTCATTGCCATGCCAGGGTCTGGCATTCCTCATTCCAGCCATCTGACTTTGGCTCATTCCTGGCCCAGAGTCCTTTGGTTCTGAGTCTCTCAGAAACTCCTGTTTTCTTTCTAGGTCAATCCACTTCTGCTCCCATTTCATGCCCACCGGGCTCTGTTTCCTCTGGGATCCAACTTTTCACCACTCAGAGTGCATATAGTATGGTAGTTAACATTAGATTTTGGAACAGACCCCTGGATCTGAATCCTAGCTCTGCTACTCTCTAGCTCTGTGACTATGGGAAAGTCACTTACCTTCTCTGTGCCTCCATTTCCTCATGTAAAAAAAAAAAAAACAACAGGTAAAAATATTACCACTCTCCTCAGGATTTTGTGAGAATCGAAAGAGGCAATGCACATAAAGCACTTGGAAAAGTGAGGAGTATACACAAAAGCCTCAAAAAGTATTTACAAACACGATAAACTGGGCTCACCTACAGCAGACTTCAGAGATTCTTTTTCTAATATTCTTTAACTCCTGGGAGTATCTCATATTGTTTATGTCAGTATCCAGGGTTACTTGTCTTTTGGAAGACGTCAGCAATACTGCTCAGTAGTTAAGTGGTAGCCTTCTACATAAGACAAATGGAGAAGATATACTACACTAGAGGCGCTTTTCTAGATGGTATATTCCAAATGAAGCCTATTGCCTCTGAGTATCATCCCAGCCGAATGCTGATGTCTGAAGCCAGGGTGGAATGGATGAACTCACATAGTATGAGAGAGAATCAGGGCCACAGTCACATTTCTGAAAATAGCCTTGGCATCAGCCTTCTTCCCCCACCATAGATGTGCCTCCTGCTCATCACACACTGACGGTGACCAGAGCGTGCTTCAGATAGGCAGTGCTAAGCACCTTGTGCAGATTTACCCACTAACAATCCATAAACTAGGTGGGAGTTTTAGTGCTCTTCCTCTAGAGACGCAGAAACTAGGGCACAGAGAAATTGATCAAGTTGCCAGAGGTTGCAATACTAATTAGTAGTGGAGCAGAGGCTGGGATCTATGCAATTTAGATCTGGAGCCACTCTCCCGACCCTTGCACAATCAAAAGAGTGTGCAGATGGTTGGGGAGATACAGAAGCCAAAAGAATGGAAAGAAGTTAGTGTCATATTGAAGAGGACTTTGGCTTCCATCGAAAGGGAAGAAAATAGGGGTCCTTATTTTTAGCTTTGGAGGGAGCACTGACTGGCTCTTTCAAGGGTTAACACGCAAACAGGCACACATTGCATGAAGGCCCCCTCCCAAAGTGGACACCACACTGCTCTGTGCAGAACAATCTGGGGGCAGAGTTTCTGTACTTCGTGCCAACTGTTTCCAAAACCTAAGAGTGATGCAGCTGTCATCCTCAACCTCACAGCAAATCCAAAAGGCTTCCTGTTGGTCCCTAGGATTGAGTAGACAGGCAGAGTATTCTGAAACCACTTGCTAAACTCAGGGATGCCCAATTCTCCCAGGTCAGTACTTTGCAAAGTTATTTTGTATTTTGGATTTGTAGAGAAGAGAGGGAACAATAATCAGAGCCCTGTGGGTCTGCAATGGTCTCAGATACTAGCACAGGCCTTCTCTCCTCCATTTTTCCATATATGGCAGACATCACACCTAAGTCCTACCTGAGCTCAGTTTCAGCCTCGGAATCCTTCTCCAGGCCATGCTCTATGTAATAACTGACAGTTGAATAGAATTGATCCCCCCAAAATGAACTTAGCTTGCTTTCCTAGCTTCCCCGGGTTTTAAGAACAAATCCTGAAGGAGGTGGAGTAGATCAAGAAGCAAAATCAAGGTGCTGAGGACTAGGTATGCCCTGAGGTTGAGCAGAAGTTAAGGGTAAACAGGCGAAACATGTCTGTAGACATGTCTCTTGAGAGTGATGTCCATGGGCTTCAGATAGACAATCCACATTTGAGAAGCCCAGTAAAGGGTGATTACTGTAGGAATTAGTTGAGCACATGGACAAGACCTTGGCAAGGGACAGTAATCCCTAGTTTGTACCAGATGTCATGCTAAATGCTTTGCATGCTATGTAAAATACTCATCGACCACGAGGCAGGTGTAATTTTAGAGACAAGGAAACGGACAACACAGGAGCTAAACAACTTGCTTAAGGTCAGACAGTTAATAAAGATAGTTCGATTTCAAGCCACATCTCTATTACCCCAGAGCCCCAGTCTTAACAGTCAAACCAATTACTCTCAATTCTGACCTGTACTTCAAATCATGTAGAAAACCTTAAAAAATATCTATAACCCAGCAGGTCCCACCCTAGGTGAGTTAAATCAGAATTTCTGGGACTGCAGCCCTAGAAAATATTTTCAAAAACTTCTCTTTGGTTCTATTGACCATCCAGGGTCAAACTGCTGCCCTAGATTCCTCTTCTGCTGAGAAAACAGGAGTCAGAGATAGAAGAGAATTCTGCCTGCCGAAGCTGGGCCCTAACCTGGGGGCTAGGACTCGGTCATGAGATTCTAATGACTGGACCCTAGTCGGCTAAGCTCTTACTTGT